ATGTTTGAGTAAGGCTGAACACCTGGATTTCCATTTATCCGAATGCATTGGACCTCAGAAAAAGTCAACAGTCCATTTTTACTGTTACTCTTTCTACCCATAGTTTCTATGGATAGTGAACAACTAAACTAGATGTGTAGACACCTTACCTTATTCACTAAATGCATGGAAAAAATAATGATCAAACCATATTTTAAAAAAGAAGCACACAATTTCATAAACTAAAAGTCTGAAGACTTCTAAGGTAGTTTTTATACACACTATTTTTAAGCTCCTACGAAACCATCGAAGACCCAGAGATGCAGAAAATTCACTACAGTATATCTGGTTCACTGAAGATAGCATATTTCCAGATCCTAGATGCCTGGCCCAGATTTTGAGTACAGATAACAGAATAACAGAGTTGTAAGGGACCTTAGAGGTCTTCTATTCCAACCCCTTGCTCAGGCAGGAAACCCTATATACCTATACCATTTCAGACAAATGGTTGTCCAATCTCTTCTTAAAAACTTCCAAAAGCGATATAGAACCAAATAAATTTGTATATTGCTAAAATATACAATATAGGGGAATATATGTATGAGGGGAAGATGGATTTCGACTTCTCAACTACCAGTCCATCCATTTTTCATGCAGCAAACTACTTTTGAAAGTTATCCAAGTCTTAAAAAGAATTATTGAGAAACAATTAGGACCGGGCATATGCATTGGAAGGAATCTTTCAAAAAAAAAAAAAATACTGGAAATGATGGGCATGCCTTACAATCTTATATATATTGCTGGTCCCTGAATCAAAATACCAACCATTTTTATACCTGAGTCAACTAGCAAAACAAGCTACAATTGATATAGCATGTGCTTTTTTTTTCTTTTTCTACTAAAAATTTTCTACTAAAATAAAAATGGAAATAAAGTATTTGTATTTAGTGAGCCTGCTTGTATATAAAAAGCATTTATTAACTTTGTATGAAAGGGAGAAATACTAGTGGAAATCCTGTTTGTCCTTTTCTAGATCAATATTCAAAAATAAAGTGAACTTCTTCCATGATGTTTCTTTGATAAAGAATCAGGATTATCATTTAACAGAAAGGTATGCCTTGTGCTCTCTTTCTTTGCCCAAGACACATTCTAACATGATTCTGAATTTTTGATATATATCCGTATGATATGCATGTATACTGTATCTCAGAATTTTAGCTACGATAATAGCACTTTTCCATTAGGATGTCCAGCCTGCAGTCCTGAGTGTCTGAAAGGATTCATCTCTTCCCTCTATTAGCATTGTTGACTGTGTATTTTCTCTGGTTGCTATGAATTTTATTTTATTTTTTTGCTTTTATGGGATAATTCCACAAGAGTCATTTGTTTATGGGGTAATTCCATAAGGGTCATTTGTACTGCCAGCTGTACAAATTGATTAAGTAAAATTAATTAATGGTTTATGAAAAGATACCCAATTTAGGGTCATACAGTATATCATTCATTAGTTCTCCTTCATTTACTGATATTAACCCAATTCAATGTTAAAAGAAGAAACACACATTCCCCTTTTGGCTAATTGGAAGGGTGCATCACAATCAGAATAGAGCTGGAAGTCCAGAAGTCCTTGCTCAAGCAGGAGATCCTATATCACTTCAGACAAGTGACTGTCCAGTCTTAAAAACCTCTAGTGATGAAGCAGCCACAATTTCTGAAGGAAAACTGTTCCATTGGTTAATTGTCCTCACTGTTAGGAAGTTTCTCCTTAATTCCAGTTTGCTTCTCTCCTTGATTAGTTCCCATCCATTGTTTCTTGTCTGGCCCTTTGGTGCTTTGGAAAATATATTCCTCTTTGTGATAGCCTCTCAAATACAGGAATACTGCTATCATGTCTATCATGTAAAGCTGATAACTAGTTTTCTGAGTTATGGCACCAGTAATATAATTTGCAAACCTGGTACCCAAATGTTACAAAATATAACTTACCCTATTAGATAACACAATGATTGAAAAGTCTGTAAGAAAAAGAAATAACAGGTCAGCTCATCCAAAATGGAGAGTGAACCCTTGGAAAGCAGATGTAGGTTAGGGTTAGGGTTAGGGTTAGGGTTAGGGTTAACCCTAACCACATCAATAATAACAACATGGCACAATGGGACATTTTCATACATCAGCTTTCCACGCTAATCAGATAAACAGTACCATTTATATACAGATTTCTAAATATTAACCTTCTTCCCTTTTTTCATATCAGTTTTTAGTATCTTGTTTTTATTTTATTCAATCTCTTGTAGACCAACCCAGAGTTGGGCAGCCTCAAGCTGAATATATACATAAATAAATGTCCTAAATTAATAGGAAAACATTTTTCTCTTTGATAATAGATTCGTTGGCCAATTTTTTTTTAATGTAATTGTCAAAATGTTACATGATACTTCAGGATTAGGGCATGTATTCCCAACTATAAACTGAACTCATAAGCAATATGTACATTTTCATTTTTTCTAACTTTCCTTAAATTACAACACTATGTTTTTTTACAAACTTGATAATACTATTAATAGTGCATTTTAACTTTAATTTTTTAAAAAATAGTGTTGATACATTTGTAATAAAATATTAAATATTTGCTGTGATATGTTTGATGCTCTGCATGCAAAGTTTGTTACAAGACCATTTCCATTGATGTATTGCTACTGAAAGGAAAACTGCTATTGCAAACTGGACCTATCTCTGTTCTGGAATTAGTTGTAGAAATTTTCCATGCTATGGTGGAAGAGGAAAGAGAAATAGACATAGAGCAATAATTGAAACTGAAACTGAAAGCACAGATTAATTTTTCTATATTATGTTTCAACCTCAAGGTTGAAAAGGCATTTCTGAAAGTGGAATGTTCAATTTTCCAGGAGAAAAGGAATGCATCCAGAGGAGCCAGAGACAGTGCAATTTAGATTTGTGTGGGAGAAAAAGGGTGAAAATAGCTCCTTCCCTAACAGAGAATAAATTTTATGGTACAGTTTTAGTTTGACAAAATTTCTCTCTGTAGTAATGAACAACAAAGGAAACTGCTTAGAACAGGGGTGTCAAACTCAATTTCATTGAGGGCCGCATCAGGGTTGCGTTTTACCCTGGGGCAGGGATGGGTTCTAAATTTTTTTATTACCGGTTCTGTGGCCATGGCTTATTTTGTGGGCATAGCTTGATGGTCATGTGACAATTCTTTAGTATTTAGCAGAGGTACTGGTCTACCAGGCTTTTAACTGCTTGCAGAGCTGTACCAGTCTACTCATTTATTTTTGCAGGCATTGGTCTACCCATTTATTTTTGCAGGCACCGGTCTACTCATGTATTTTTGCAGGCACCGGTCTACTCATGTATTTTTGCAGGCACTGGTCTACCCATTTATTTTTGCAGGCATCAGTCTACTCATTTGTTTTTGGAGGTACCAGTCTACTACTAAACTGCCCTTTACCACTGATCAACTGTAGGGTGGCCCTTTGAAGCCCCGTGGCAAGAGTTTAAACAGTTTTTTTCCTTATAGCCCATCAGCTGGGGCAGGGGGATGGGAGGCGGGGGGGCAGAACCAGTTCGGTGATGTCATATCGTCACTGCTACTGGCTTGGTGGAACCAGGCGGAACCAGGAGGAACCCACCACTGCCCTGGGGGCAGGGTGGGCATGGCCAGAGTGGGCATGGCCAGCTCGACATCACTCATGTTGGGGCGCTTGTGGTGGCCCAAGCACTCTGCCAGAGCTCCCAAGCTCCATTTTCGACTGCAATGGCTTCCTGCAACCTTCTGCCAGTGAAAACTGAGCTCGGGAGGGCTGCCCATGGCCCTCCTGAGCTCCATTTTCACTGGCAGAGATACTGTGGGCCAGTCCTTTGCTGTTTCCAGGGCACCCCTGCGGGCCAGATCTAAGCACCCTATGGGCCAGATCCGGCCACCAGGCCTTGAGTTTCACACTCCTGGCTTAGAAGAATGTCAATCCGTCTTTCTGGTTTTTGGAGCTGATACATAATTTTATTTATTTCACAGTTTCTCATGTTTCAAATTTTAAATTATTTCTGTCTTAATTCCTCAATCATTTCAGATGTATTTAGAAGTTGTATGAAAATTAAAATTATTATCTATTCTAATGTATTTTGTAATGAATTTTCATAGAACAAGGTCTTTTTAAAATAGTTTACAACTTGTATGTGTATGTGTAAATTTATCTTTAATAAAATTATGTATTTATTTCTTGAATGAAGAACTTTTATTAAAATTCTGAACAATGATAATGAATTAATGAATTAATAAACTGTGTGCAACATGTTGATTTGGCAATGCAAACAATGTTAAAATGCCTTTAGAATATAATTCAAATTGATTTCCCCCAGTTATATTTAACAAAGGTGGACAAAGCCTAAAATAAAATATTATTTTCAAAACAAAATCTTATTGATGAAAATGTTTTATTTATGATAGTTTTGTTCAGGCAGTTATTTGATTAATTTCTTCTGTAGCTCTTAGCTTAAAGGAATTGGAAAGTGATACATCTAGTTTAAGCATGGTCTCTTTGTAACTACAGTTAGATCAAACCTTATTGTAGCTTCATAATTTCTTCTACTTTTACTTTCTTCCTTTCTTTCCCTAGGCATACACTTGCTTCTTTGAAGTTTTATCAAACATGGTTTTCAAAACCTATTTGCAAATATGTATTATAAAATGACCAATTGAAAAGGATATGTAGCTTTGATTAATTGTGACTCGTGCTGGGAGAAGAAAACTGGAGGCAAAATGAGCAGAATTACAAAGAAAAAAGTTCATTTATTTGAGTACTATGCTATATACTCCTTGAAACTCTGTTTTCCATTAAAATCAATACATTTTTAATTTTCTAATTATACATATCAATCTCATATTGTTAAGTCATTAGATTTCTTACTGCAGTTGGTAGCTAAAAATTGAATTTCCAAATCTTTTTGAAATCATATAGGAAAGAAGGAAAGACCTATCAGGATGATTTTCTTTTACATACCTGATCTTTTATGTAGATGAAAACCAGAATGCTGTGGTTGGTGTTTAAGGAGTAGTTATAGGTGTAAGGAGATTCATGTTCTAGTACTTTCTTTATCCATGAAACCAGATGCGTGACCTTGGTCCAATTACTCCCTCTTAGCCTTAAAAGTGTCAGGCTTTGCAACAAGTCAGCTGATAGCAACACCTCTTATTACATCATATGCTAATAGCTTTACTGTAAGAATCAGACAAATGTAATATGAAACAAAGAGACCCTAAATGATGAAGAAAAAAATGCCAAGAAAAAGACAAAACAGATATTTATATCTTGAATTAAAATTAATTTCAATTTCAGGGAAATAGGAAGCACAGTCAGTTAGCTTCCTTGAAACATTCATCTAATCCAATATTTTCTTCCTAACAATAGAGAGGCAAGTATCTTTATAAACCGTATAAGTTAGCATTAAGTCATTTCCTTTCATTTGTACCTGAAGATTTTCAAAGGATGAAGTCTTAAACTAATTTGTCTATTTCAGAGAGTTAGAGATTGTAATTTCCAAAAAAATGGAAAGACATACATTTGGGGAGAAAAAATAATGAACAACTATAAAAATATATGAGCCTCGGTGGCGCAGTGGTTAGAGTGCAGTACTGCAGGCTACATCTGCTGACTGCTGGCTGCCTGCAACTTGGCAGTTCAAATCCCACCAGGCTCAAGATTTACTCAGCCTTCCATCTTTCCCAAGGTGGGTAAAATGAGGACCCAAATTGTTGGGGGCAATATGCTCTCTGTAAACCACTTAGAGATGGCTGTAAAGAACTGTAAAGGGGTATATAAGTCTAAATGCGATTGCTATTGCTATTCTTCTATCCATTCTACTGGGGTAACTGCCATTTGCACTGTACTGCTTTGGAAAACTGGCAAGGAAAGTTCCTATTGCTCTAGGAAAACTTCAAGGTGGGCCCCAAAACTAGCGTCACTCCTTCCCTGAATTCTTTTGAAGGTAGAGCTTGAATTCTAATTGGATCTGAAAAAGAAAAGAAACTTAGATTATTCAGGTGACATGGTTGAAAACTTGACAGTTAGGAATCCTCCATTTTGGAATTTATGTCTCATCTGAGTTTATGTAGAAATTATAGAAACCATGTTAAATATTTGATTCTGATTGTCCCATGGAATTGGGATTCCAGTTCTAATGCAACATTCAACCAGGTTTCCTTGGCAACCGAAATATTCATAACTCAGTGGCAATTATTGAGCTAAGTATTTTTGGGGGAAAAAACCCTACCTCGTTTTTCAATTTAATAAATTAAAGGTATCTATAAGAAGGCTCAGATATTATTATTAAAAGAAGACAAATATTTAGAATACTGAATATAAATTGATCATTATTGATTATTTGTTATATGTTATATCAAACAAATATTACACTTAAAAAACACATTAGAAATAGCTTTATTTGTTTCAGAAAAAAACACAATCTTACTGCTGCTTAGAGGTTAACTAAAAATAGTAGCATAAGATTTTGGCCTACTAAATTTTGTTACATGCGTTAAAGAATTGGGATCCCCATATTGTACCAAAACAACTTACTTTATGTGGGGCCAGAACTTGAAAATAACATTTAACATAGCACAGTACTTAAACAAAAATGGTTCGGTTGAGATCTGCATACATGGGACTGATAGGAGTAGATTGTGAGGATGACACTGAAATATAATTTTATGTCATTTTATTCTATTTTATATATTTATGTATTAACTTATATTGTATCTTATCCTATAACTATTGTATTTTACCCTACTCTTATTTTAAATTGTTTGCAAAAGATTTTATTGGCGATATGTGTTTGCACCTTGTGCTTTAATATGGCCTATAGGCTAATCAAAGCTATCATTTTATTTATTTATTTATTTATTTATTTATTTATTTATTTATTATATTTCTATACCGCCTTTCTCCCGTAGGACTCAAGGCGGTGTACAGTCAAGAAAAATATAGACACACAAACATCATAAAATTGCTAATTAAAATTATTACTTAGTTTGGTCAATTAAATAAAACCCAGAATTAGATAACATTTAAAAAATCATTCACATGTTTGTATGTTTAGCCCCGCCTGTTGGAACATCAGGGTCTTGAGGGCACGGTGGAAAGCACGGAGATCAGGGATATTCCGTATCTCCGGGGGCAGTTCATTCCAAAGGGTTGGAGCCCCCACAGAGAAGGCCCTCCCCCTGGGAGTCACCAGTCGACATAATTTGACTGACGGTACCCTGATTAGTCCCTCCCTGTGAGAACGAACTGGTCGGTGGGAGGCTATTGGTGGCAAAAGACGGTCTCGTAGGTACCCAGGTCCTAAGCCATGGAGCGCTTTAAAGGTGATAACTAACACCTTGAATCGCACCCGGAAGACCACCGGGAGCCAGTGCAGCTTGTGTAGGAGAGGTGTTACATGGGTATAACAAGCTGCGCCCATAATCACCCGCGCGGCTACGTTCTGGACCAGTTGGAGCCTCCGGGTGCTTTTCAAGGGGAGCCCCATGTAGAGAGCAATACAGTAGTCCATACAGGAGGTAACTAGGGCATGAGTGACCGTGCGCAAGGCGTCCCGATCCAGAAAGGGACGCAACTGGCGGATCAGGCAAACCTGATAAAAGGCACCCCTGGCCACGGCCGTCAAATGATCTTCTAAAGATAACCGTGAATCCAGGAGGACACCCAAGTTGCGGGCCCTCTCTGTGGGGAGCAAGATCTCATCCCCTATTGTCAGTGATGGTACTAGCTGACTATACTGGGACGCCGGAAGCCACAGCCACTCGGTCTTGGAGGGGTTGAGTCTGAGCTTGTTTCTCCCCATCCAGATCCGCACGGCCTCCAGGCAACGGGACATCACAGCAAAGGCATCATTGGGGTGGAGATGTATAGCTGTGTGTCATCAGCATTTTAAACTGTATTTCATTCCAATTTCATTTTAAATTGTAGTTTATTCCAATTTCATTTTAAATTGTATTTTATCCAATTCCATTTTAAAATGTTTTCATCAGATTTTAGTAATCATTTATGTCGGGAACTCTGCACTTTGATATGGCCCAAGGGCTAATCAATAAAGTAAAGTAAAGTGATGTGTTAAAGAAGTTGTAAGGTTTCTTTCTTTCTTTCTTTCTTTTTTGTAAAAATGCTAATTCCCATCACTAAAATTATTTCAAATGCATATAAACATATTATTACATTATTGATTTTATATCTCAATGAAATATTACTTTTATTGACTTTTGATTATGACCTGAAGTGTACATCCATATATTTCTTTCAGATACTGAAGATCAGCCAGACTAAGATATCTTCCTGATTGTTATAGTGGTCGTGAGTGTAACGAGTAAAGTCCAGGTGTCCACAGGAAGGATGGAAAAAGTCAACATGGCCATGTGGCCAAATGACTGAAGCTCATCCCTTTTTAATATACATCATATATACAATATGTGTAAAAATGGGGTAAAGCTTGACCACAATATTGTAGCTGCCATCTTGACTTTTTTGATCAACAGGGGAGAATGCTAATTGCCTGACTATTATTATTATTATTATTATTATTATTATTATTATTATTATTATTATTATTATTATTATTATTATTATTATTCAAACTTCTATACCGCCTTTCTCCTTTCGGACTCAGGACGGTGAACAGCCAAAATAAAAACATTTATACATAACATTACAATTAAAAACAGATTTAAAATAATTAATAAATTTGGCCCATAATTTAAAATTTGTCAATTTGCTCATTTTCCACTTAGAGATGGGATGCAGCTAATGGGAGATCCAGATCAAGTGCTTTTTCCAGTTCGGACCACTACTTGTTCTGCATGATTGAAACATTTCATAGATAGAATTATAAAATATAATTATAAAATACAGGTACGACATTCAGTTGTCCTGTATGTTGCTGTCCCAAAACACCAAGCACTTTGTCCCTCTGCTGTTTAACTAGGGAACGCAGAACAAATGACTCTTTATTAGGAACAAACAGATCTAACAGGATGGATTTTCATTTATTCTTTTAATCCTCTGATTCTGCTTTTATATGTGATCAGACAATTTTAATGAATTTTGATTCAAAATTAAAAGTCTAACTTGTAATGGCTATTTATATGTTGTCAATACACACAAAAAATCACCAATGCAGTATCCTTTAAGAAGGTAAAACATGTTTTTACATAAATATTTATGCACATATACATAGATTAAGTGGGATGTGTATATGATCACCCTGTAGTGATGATGGGTCAAGTAGTAATAGCTGATAGGCTATTTTTAGGTTCTTCTTCCATTTTGTTTTATATTTACAGTGGACTTGAACAGAGCAATTCTTCTCCTAAAGGATTATTTTATCAAAGCTCTTTGTAAACTGTAAAACCATGCATATTTACTTTGCTTCATTATTTTATAAAAACAAAAAAGAAAATGGAAGTTGTTGATAATGAATCTGTACTATGGTTATATATACCTATCATAACACAGAATCTGAAACTTCTTGAATGAAATTCTTTAAGAATTATCTTGTAAATTGTAATAAAAGACACATGCAATTATTTTTCATTTAAGGATCTGATATCAGTAAACTTTAACCTATGTAAAACTGCTTAATTTTATGAATACTTAATGAATGCTTATATTATGGACTTAACATTATAAAGAGCCTAGATTTCAAAATCCTTGGCCAGAATACTTCTTATGGTACAGAAGTATTCTGCAAAGTTTCCCAGGAATATCGTGCCAATTACTGACAACTGTCAATTATAAGACAGTCTTTCACCTTTTTACTTGTCTTACCTATATCATTTGTCTCTGCATGAACATCCTACATGTTGTTAAGTGCCTTCAGATATTTTTTTCCTCATATGTTGAATGACAGTCTTTGACCTTGAAAAACACTACTAATATATTTAGCAGTGACATATGAATAGCCCTGCCCATGTATTTATAAATAAGTATATTCTGAAATCAAATAGCAGAGTAAAATCAGTAAAGCTTTTGGTGAAACATTCTTTTCTTTATCACTGACTGGCAACCTTTAACAGACAGGGCTAATTAATTCACAATGAATGAACACCTAAACACTAATGATCTATTTAATGAAATGACTACTGGACAAGTAAGGGAGAGACACCTCTAATCTTTATTTAAACTTTCTAGATATATCTTTTATATCTTATGGTTTAAACTCTTATTATAAAAAGTGTTTGCCAGTTTCTACAAATTTGTTTTGCTTCTA